ATATATATATATATATATATATGTATTTTATTATTTAATTTTTATTTATTCATTTATTTACGTTTTCAAAGTTTAGGAAGATTCTATTCCTACGCGCAGCCTGGGCCACGTTTATCGCCCCAGTCCCCAGTCTGTGTATGATCTTGCGGCAAACAGTTTTTACAACTGTCGGATAATAATAATAATATTTATATAGCGCGCACATCAAAAGCTTCTCGTGGCGCTTAACAATACTATAAAATGATAAAATAACCTAATGCACCTACAAAAATAATGAAAAGTTAATACTGAACCTAAGATATATATCTTAAAGAAGGTCTACACAAAATCCGGTGACATCGACCGTTCAACCTCGTTCACAGGGTGCAATCTCTTTCTTCCTCAAGGGAGGAAGAGAAAGGACCCTGAGAACGAGGTTGAACGATCATTTTGTTAAGCATCACTGAATGGGTGGAAAGTTTCATCATTCAATGTCACTGTGTTTATGACCGTTCGGGGTATGTTTATCTCCCATCAGTATTTCCATTGATTTTCGTTCGGTTTTTCGACCTTATTGTAAGGATTTTGGCCTCGATATACGATAAGAACATAAAAACGCATTATACGCATGCGTAGTTTTCAAAGACACCACATTGAAGAAAACATTGTGACAGTAAGATATAAAAAGGCATGTCAACCTAAACTAACTTTGTGGTCCGGACGGTCGAGGGTTATCAATCCAGAATTCTTGAACACCCCTCCTCCACCAACTAGACCACATTTTCTCTATTTTTCAGTTTTCAGAGTCCCTTAAATTCTTTTTTTGGTACGTGTGTCACTGAAGAGTTTTGTTTTAAACCTTACTTTCCTGTTCGAGTTGCGAAACTATTAATTTTTAAAATGTTGTTCGGACATGTGTGGGATTACCAAGTTAAACTTTCGTAAAAATTCAAAATTTGAAGTTGAATATTTTGAGAGGCAAATCAGACTAGCAATTGAGCAAAGTCAAGAGGGGTAAGGAAAAACAAAATCCTCTTGGCCACATTGTCCGACTACAGTGGAACCTCGATTGAACGAAATGCCAAGGGACTGGGGAACTTGGTTCTTTATATTGAGGTTCTGTGGCATACATTTTACTGTAACTTTAGCCGCACTAAAACTGAAGTATCATTCGTTATACCGAGGACTTCGTTATATAGAGGTTCGTTAAATCGAGGTTCCCCTGTATTCATCGATGTGGCGCACAGTTGTTCTCCAACTTAGTCTGTTCCTTTGGCTACACAAAGAACGACAATACATCCATTCTTGGGGAATAGTATTCGAAGTGCAAAGAAGAGCTCCAAACATTTAAGAGAAATTAAAATAAAATGACAAACTTAATGGCGATTACGCTGACAACACATATTCTTCGCGAGAACCCGAGAGATTGGTATCTAGATAAATTTAAATTAGATATCGACCAATAGAAAACAGGATTATCGAAGAGGAGCCAATCAAATGAATTCCCGCTCTTCAAAAACACGACCGTTAAGGCTTTTGCATGAAGTTATTACAACTTTTTACGCGAAGTTTGAGGGGGGAAGTATTGTTGGAGAACTTTAAGTAAAAGTAACACATTTAGTCGAGTGGTTTACAACAAGAAAATGCAAGGAGAAAAATCTCTAGCAGTTGGAGACACAGTGTGGGCAATGTGGCCGGGAAGCAGGAAGTATTTCGAAGCTACAGTTCTCAATGTTAGCAAAACTAAAGTTGAAGTTAACTTCAAAGATAACTATCAAACAGAAGTCGCTCTGAAAAATGTTTCCGTAAGTATAACTTTTATCTTGGATGCAAACGTGATCCCTAAGGTCTAAAAAGAAGCTTAATGAAAATGGGCCGTATTTTGATCGCCTCAACGAACAAATAAAAGTGTGTAAATCTTCTGTTGGTGGAACACGCCATTTTGATGGCGTTGTTGATGCCTTCGTTGAAATCTCTTCTCCTTCACTTTTTGCAGCTTAAAGTGTAAAATAACAATCGTTTTGCACGTGCCATGAGGGTCGTTTAATTGGCTTCGTTGAAAGACTCGATTTCAGAGTTACCCAACGTGGGAAATTATAAACAACTGCTAAACGATCTTTTTTTCTTGTACGATTGATTCACTTAAGAGCTTTACAAGCGACTATTAAAACATGGTGTCGAGTTAGAACGTAAGCTTATGTCTATATGTGTGATAACGGTAACTCACCAGAGACACCCTTGCATTGTTTTGTAGAGGAAACTTCCTTTTCGTTCCCGTTCAACGTCGCCCGCTCGATCGCCAGCACGAAGAAGGTCTCGCTCGCCAGGGCGAAGATCTCGCTCACGATCTCGATCTCCGGCAAGAAGTCGAGGACGTCCGCCAGCCCAGAAGACGTCGGAAGAGAGTCTTGACGCGAAAGTTAAGCAAGAAATAACAACTCCGAAACGGCGTTCTTCTAGACGAAGCAGAATGCCCGAAACAACGGTTGAAGAGTCTTCGACTTCAACCACAACTGTCACCAAAGACAGTGCTGTTACAACCACACGTGTGACTCGATCTATCACGAAGAAGCTTATTGCAGAGGAAAAGGAGGCCTTACTTACACCAGAAGTCAAGCCTAGTTCTAAAAAAAGCAGTCATGGATTTGAATTTGGTGGCCCAGTTGGAGTGTTCTTCATGATGATCGGGCTGCCTGCAATGGTTATAGCGTCATACTTGTTTTGCAACAATCATGGATGTTCAATCCGTCAGCGCCCATCCATTCCACCACTTTGGAGCTTCACTGGAGCATTTTTCGACATTGGTCATCTGATTGTCGGTGGATGGATCCTTTTCCAGGCGATTATTTACATGATGCCCATTGGAAAGGTAACTGTTCATGTCCTGTGACATTTCCAGGCATGTTACATACACATATATTGAGCAGTGTTAAATCCCGCTTGACCTTAATCAAATGTTTTAAGGAATTCTTAGTCGAGGTAGCACAGATGCTAGTTGAATGCTAGTTGAATGCACTTAATAACTTTTTAAAATTTTGAAGTTTAAAATTAATCACACTTTCGGCAACAACACTCCTCCCCTATTTATACTGCTCTTCCCCGTTCAATGCCTTATAATCACAGGAAACATAGAGAAATATTGTTCAGGGGAATCTCTTGGTAGGGGTATGGGGTAAGAATTACATTTCTTTCAGCATGAAACATTGGCAAATTTTCATTACATTTTACATGCAAAGTGCATGGCAGTGATTCAAGAATATTGCAATCTAATGGCAATGCATGCTGTATTTTGTTGCTGACTTAGTCCTGTGCTATAGTATCTTTTATTTGTGCCAGGAATGAACAGAAGGAAGGATACATGTGTGCATCTAGAGCTCAATGGCTATCCAAGTACAGCATGTTTCTTTTCTGCTATGCACTACGTGCATTTGATGTGTATGTTTAACTGTCTGTACAGGGGAGTAGTGTTTTCACTCATGATGAACTTACACTGTACGTAAAGTTTGCTGATTATTTGTTTGATGCAATATTGACTCCAGGTTTTTTTTCCAGGTTGTCAAGGGACGAGTGCTTGCAGATGGAACATGTCTTGATTACAGAACAAATGGTAAGAATTTGCAAGCAATATTCTATTTCCTTACAATAAGCCAAGTTTACATATAGCTGCACTTTACATTTATGATTTTCATATATTCAGAGTCAGTAAATTAGCCAACAGCTTGAGAAATCAGCTAAGCATATAGGCTGGCTTCTCTTAGGGCTTCAAGCTGCAACCATTGTGGTCTCCATTTTTGTCTTGCTAAGTTTAAAAAGTTTTGTCGCTAAATTTACCTCACAGGTTGCAAAATGAGCGGCTGGGTTTAGCAACTGTAACACTTACATTAGATACAGTATTTTTGATACAAATTCAAAACATCTTTTTCCCCTTGATTGGCCTTGAGATGTTGCTTAAAGTAATGATTTTCCTTCAGTCTCTTTACATTTGATTTGAAAGGGAGACAGTGAGGAGTTATTCCAAGCCAGTCACTCTTACATGTGGGGGTTAAATAGTAGAGGGAATGATACAGTAACTCAAACTAAAATCAACAATCTGCCTGTACTGGCCTATACTATTTTGCGGAACAACACAAAACCAAGTGAGATCTAACAAAACTAAAGGGATTATGCTGATATGTTTTCTAACAAAGTGAAGGATTTTAGAGTAATGGTTAATTTATGATAAGGATTTTTATTCATTTTGCAAAGTAGTGACAAAGGCTAAAATCCTTGGTAATATATATACCAATTTGTAATATTTAAATGTATTTTTGTGACATGAAAGAGGTCACGTTGTCACTGCAGGATGAAAATAGTCAATTTTGCAAAATAGTAACTCGTCTTTAATTACTACTTTGCAAAATGAATCAAATCCTTATTATTAATTAATAATTACTCCAAAATCCTTGTGAAAGGTATCTTTACCTTATTAGAAAATATATTGGCATTATCCCTTTAGTTCTGTTAGATCTCACCTGGTTTCATTTTGTTTTGCTTTGCAAAATAGTATATATAAGCCTGTAGTACTGCCAAATGTGAGTGACCTGGTTTTGATTGTGATTGGACCATTCCCAGAGAAAAGTGATACAGGAAAATTGTTGACACTTGATTAAACATTGATGGTCCATTTTACTTTCTTACAGGTTTCATTGCTTTAATCCTAAGTGAGATTGGGTTTGCAGCCTGCCTTTATTTCAAAGTGCCAGTTCACATGGTCTACCACACTTTCATTGGAATCATAACAGCAACTATCTTGTGGTCTATTATTGTGGCAGTTGTTGTTTATGTTATGGCACACCAACAGAAAAGAGGTTTGGCTCCAGGGGGAAACACAGGTAAACACTGATTTTTAATCCTAGTGAGCAATTTTTATCATGTATTTGGGACAGCCTAACATTGCTGGTCAGATAACTAACCTGAGTGTGTTTCTCATATACATAAGGATTACATTAACTCAAAACTCACAAATTAAGAATCAAGAGATCCACAAAAATTCTGTGCACAGGAATTTTTTTTTTTTTGTACATAACAGTGACACGACATCGCCTGGGAATTTGGGAATTTGGATTCGACTCCTATTTTGGTCAACATCAATTATTTTCATCATATTTAAGATGATTCCCTTGTGTTCTTAATAAGCGTTTGAACATGTAAATACCATTTCCCTTGCCAGGTAATGTGATCTATGACTTCTTTATGGGACACCAGCTTAATCCTCGGTGGGGAAACTTTGATTTCAAGTTCTTTTTTGAAGTCAGGCCTGGACTAATTGGATGGGTAAGGGAAGACTCCTATGTTCTGGAAATCTAAAGCAGTATAATTGGTTTTAAGGAAATACATTGTACTTTATTTTAAAGGTGAAGTGAATTTTTTTCAAATGATCCACAGAATATATAATTAATAGTAAAAGTTCAATTTGGTTTGTAATATTGTGTATACTTGTAGCTAATAATCAATTTAAAATATGTGTACCTATTATTCTTCAATTTTTTTTAAAACCATCCATTAAAAGATTAATTTTGATTGTTTTAAAATATCCAAATTGTCTTATCCCTAAATTGGACAGTTTTAAAACATTTAAGAATAATAGCTTAACTGAGCAATGCCCAATTACAACTGACTGGCTGTATAATTAATAAGTAAGAGGACAACAGACTTTTCCAATTTTGGAAATGGTCAAATCCATCTCACAGCCAAATTGGACTCTGCCCAGGGCCTCATCCAATTTTGGCAGTCCTCAGATTTTTATCCAAGTTTTCAGATTGGACAGCATGTAGTCCTATAAGTGAGTAATTTATCTGATATTGAATTGGATGACATCATGTACTTTTACCAGTGTCCTGTTACCAATTAATCAAAACTCTGACAACAATTGGAAAGGAAACTAGCCATTGGTTACATGTTTTCATAAAAAAGAAAAAAAATTAACAGTTAATTCAGGGAAATGTGCAACAACAGTATGCAAACAAGATGCGTACTGTCCAGTTACACAGGTATTTCCAGTTACAAGCATGTCCAATTATATTGTCTTACAAGTACTGAAATTGGGTTGGTGATAACCAATCATATTTTAGAATTTTGTTTTTACAATTAAGTTTATTATTTTGTTCTGAATGCAAAAGACATTATTGTATGTATATGTACAGTAATACCCCCCTCAGAAGAAGGGGGTGAACAATTTCAAAAGCTAAACACTGAGTATACTGTCATCATCTTACATGTATCCAAGTTTTAATTGTAAATCATTTAGTGATGTGAATTTCTGGAACATAGTGAGGTGTATTTGCTACTTTATATACCAATTCAAGGGATATCTTTTTTGTTATCGTGTGTCAATTTCCTCCTAATCATTACAACAGGTAATGATCAACTTCTGCATGGCTGCCAAAGAATACCAAAAGAGAGGGGAAGTTTCTCCTGCAATGATACTTGTATGCATCTTTCAGCTCATCTATGTTGCTGACTGCTTATTTTATGAGGTAAGTACCGTGTACAATGAGGTTCTTTTGATATTTATTGGCTTCATATTTGTGGAGTTATTCATGCAGTCAGAGTTCCATCTTTGGCCACCCTCCTTTATAGCCATCCTTTGTCTGTGGCAGAGAACTTTTCATATCACATGTATGTCCCTATTTACTTTTTGGCTCATGTACCTGTAACAGAATTATGTTGTTGTTTTAGTCTTCCATCCTAAGTACAATGGACATCATCGATGAAGGATTTGGCTTCATGTTGGCATTTGGAGACATATCGTGGGTTCCAATCATGTATTCCATGCAGGCACGCTATCTAGTGGACAATTCTGTCAAGATATCATATCTTACAATCGCTGCAATAGTGGCTCTATTTGGTAATTGTTTTTAGACATGTGCAATGCATACATACAATTTACATGTATCTTAAAATTTCATATATTGTAAAATAGATTTCTTTTGATCATATGGTACTGTGCATTCAGTGTGTGCATGTCTATGTAGGTGATGAACTGATCCTGGCTTTACCTGTAGCTCTCCCTCCCCCTGGATGTTCTCTCATATGATCAGGTGTAAACACGTTAGGTATCAATTGAAATTGGTCCTTTTTTCAGTCATTGGGTATGCAATATTCCGTGGAGCCAACTCTCAGAAAGACAGATTCAGAACTGACCCTGACTCAGAGGAATTCCGAGGTAAAGCGTCTAATGTCATTTACTATGGGGAATAAAATACCTTGTAAAATACCACAATACTGTATAAAAAATATCCGAAACATTGCTTGTTTTGGACTTAGCCACACAGTTTAGGCAGTTTGGCTAGAGAGAGAGAATATGCTCCAGCCTGACAAAGAAATCTGTTTCCTAAACGAGAACTGTTTCGTTCAGAAATCTGTTTTTTCTGGGGTCAAGGACCAAACCTTTATTTTTTTCAATGTGAGCTTTATTACATGTGTAGTTTAAAGCAGTTTTCAATAGCCCTTATCGCATTTGTGTCTGCAATGAAAAGGGTCTGCGGAGTTACAGTTTCAGGAAGAGGCTATCGGGTCAACGTTTCTCGAGAAACACCAGAAACACTCCATGTCTGACCATATAACTCTGGAATCTGCGTTTTTTACTGCCGAGGAAAAGGTTAAAATTCTTAGTGGTAATTGTCCTGGCGTCACGAAAGGAAGATTGAAAGAATGGCTGTCATTTCGGAAAGGAACGGCAAAATTTTGTCGCGTTTGTTCATGACTACGGTTGTTGTTCCTTTGTCGGCCTTTTTGAGGTTTAACTCAAGAGTCACGTTTTAAGGCCCTCAGCGCCTTGCGTTCGGCCGGAAGCAAATTACCTTTTGGCTTTGTAATTTCTTTTTCTGAAAGGTCACTTTTAACCTCTTCTAAATAGCTTTCAAGGGCTACTGATTTTTGTATTGGTGGTATCCATGTAGATTTGACATAACAGGGATGGGTTTTTTTGTCCTCCCCTCGGAATATGTAAATCAGACACATTCTCCTTGCGAACTGATCAGTCACACAGTAGTTGTTGTATGATCTGTTTTTGTTTTGTAGCGGATGTTGGAATGAATTGAAGCCCTTTTGCCAGTAAATTATTCTGGTTGTTTGTAAGTTCTTTATTTGAGAGGCTTTTTATGTGCGTTTTGTTCGCCTCTAGTTTGATAGTTGAACGTGTTTGGCAAGAACGCGGTATTGATCCTAATCTTGTGGATCTCGTCAGTTGCCGATTCACTGAATAGACTGTTGCACCCGTACGCAGTACAATGTCTAACCATGACGAGAACACGCTGTATCCTTAAGAAAATGAATAAAAATACCTCCAAACGTGGCCGTTTGCTTCGATCATAGTAGCCTAACTATGCTTCGATTTTACTTGAAAGTTTTACCTGTGTGACCCGATAGCCTCGTTTGGAAACTTCAAAGTCCGCAGAGCTCTCGTACAGTGGGCGTAAATGCGATAAGGGAAAAAATGGCAAGGTAAAGCAATAACAAAGAAATCCTGGATTACTTTGGAGTAGAAAATTGCTCTATTCCCCAAATGTAATCACTCACTAAATCCTCCTCATTACCCTGTGGGGCATACGGCAACCATTGAGTGCAATTCCATTAGATGTAATGTCGGCAAGGTACAATAGAAACAGAAAACTAATTTTCAAAGAAACTTAACGTAGTCTTTAAAAGAAGAAACACCCATTGTTAATGTGATATTGCAGGCGCAAATAAGTTTGTTAACCTTTTTGCTCAATCAGATCAAGAAACCATTTTAACCCCAACTGGTCGACGACTCCTGGTCTCTGGTTGGTGGGGCCTGGTGCGGCATCCCAATTACCTGGGTGATATCATCATGGCATTCGCTTGGTCCATTCCTTGTGGTAGGTCTGAATAAGATTGGAACTGCTTCATTTCCCCGATTCCGTGATTTTACGAATGCTTTTCCTTTGCGCTCCGGTGTAGAATGCGCCGTGCTCACTTCCTGAGAGGCAGGTGAATGCCGGAAGTTGAAAGTTCTTTCCTCGTGCGCTCTACAAATCTTTGGTCATTTTTGAGCTTAAGAAGATAAAACAAAGGCACTCCAGCTAAGTAGTTGATTTCAAAGCGCAACAGACGTAATAACATTCGTTTCTTGTGGCCATAGGTCACGTTGCAAAAACGTGCGCGAATTAGTTCGCACAATTTAAAAAAGTTAAATGAATAAATAATTTACAGCTGTGCTTGTTATTATTACAGGGTTCGTACAGGTCATGGAAAACCTGGAAAGTCATGGAATTTCAAAATTTCATTTTTCAGGCCTGGAAAGTCATGAAATTTAGGTGTGGGCCATGGAAAGTCATGGAAAATCAATATATGCTCTCCATGAGTGAAAGGCAATAAGACCCAAAGTAAAAGTTAACCGACGAGTCCAAAAATCAGATTTAATTTCATTAGAAATAAACAGAAGCACGCACTGTGAGAAAGTTTGCAAACAGGTCATGGAATCTTTCAAAAGGTCATGGAAAGTCATGGAATTTTAACAGGTCAAAAGTGTACGAACCCTGTATTAATTTTTTTGTTTTTGCTTTGGTAAAGACACTATATCTTTTCCATTGGAATCTTTTCCCGTAAACTGTTGCTGTCCACTTACACCTTGATTTTCTCAACAGGTTTTACAAACCCATTTCCGTTTTTCTACCCGGTTTATTTGACAATTCTATTGGTTCACCGTGAAATCCGGGACGAAGCGAACAGTCGTCGTAAATACGGAGCAAGCTGGGACGAGTACTGCCGGCGAGTGCCTTACCGCATTGTACCCAAGATATTTTAACCTTTTCGCGCTCATCATTTTAAGATTTTTTTTTACTATTCTTTACATTTTAGATGCCTCTTTTTAGTGTACAAGTTTATATCATAAAAAGTCGTTTTTAACTTTTAAAAAGCAAATAAGTGGTTGAAGATATATTCTGGAAGGTAAAAGAAAACATTTTACGACACAAGATTTTTCTGAGATAAGTTTACTTTTTTCTTTTTCTTTTAGAAAATTTTCCGCTAAGCCCATGGCTATGATAATATATTTATGTAACGATGGTTTTAGCCATTAATTGTGTCGGTTTTATGTGAAGAAATTTTTACATGCATGCATGACTAAAAAGCTCAGGATATATTTTAGGTATACTGTACACTGAATAACTAGGTACCTTGCGAGCAGGCTCTCGTTAGTGCAAAGAACCCCGCGTATTTGGAGCATTCAAACGAAGCAAGCGTTCTGCTTAGGGTCGTTCCAGAACCTGCGTGGACTTCACGCGCGCTCTCGTGGGCTTGAAACGAGCGGCATTGCCGCTTGTGTGGCAGCGCGAATGAGGGCCTGCTGGCAGGCACAATAATACTGATTAAGTTAGATTAAAGATCTTGTTTTAAGGTTGTGTAAAGGTCGGGACGCAATAAGCGACACTGTTGCAGCGATAGGTCTTTGCTTCCGATACAAGGGTCGGCGTCTCATTTTCTGGCTGTTACCATCGCCTAAACTCAAACCCGTGTGAAATTGTATAAAGAGTTGCAGCGACAAATCAAAGCTCGATTTTAACCCTACATGTAGTCGCCCGGAGGCGACTTACCTCGCGTGTTGTCAATGTTCTTCATGTATACCAGTGCAAAGATACGAATTGTTAGTGTCTTTTTTCGTTTAGCTGTTGCACCCTCGACTGGTATTAATTCACAAGTAGGGATATGAAAGTCTTTGGAACTTCGCAGTTCTTTTTTCCCTTGTAGCACAGATTTTGCGAGTGGTGAATTTTGTAAGCCAAACTGCTCCATCTGGTAACTGGAACAAAATTTTCACTTTTCGTTCCTGAAAACTCTGTCACTGGGTAGAGGAATTCAAGGCATCACGCCGTCGTTGCAACTTTTGGTTTAGTGCATTCTGACCTTGATGTTTTAACGTGGAAAACAGTGAAGAGCTCACAAACCGAAAGCAAAATCTTTATAACTATGTTACGGGAGAGCACTGATACTCGAATTTGCCGTCTATCTTTCTAGTATAAGATACTTGTCTACTCATTTCTCGTTGTATAATTCATTTAAGTTTAACCTTATACAGAAATTTATAGCCACTAATTCTTGGTTATTCGATAGATCAATAAAATCCATGACGATTTGTAATTACGCCCGGTAGAATTAAAAAAAGTCTTTAATACTGACACATGTGAAACTACTACTACATGTAGTAAGCGTTTGCAAAACTCGAGGCAGTTAGAGGTTCGGGTTATTATTGAAAAAATGCATACGTAGTCACTTGTATATTAACATAAGAGGGTTTTACTAACCTGTAGCAAGGAAAGGCCATTGCAACTTCTCGTTGAAAAATATTTAATCGGGCGTGGAAATTAAGTTAGGACTGCAGTAGCTCTACCTCACTACGCACCGTGATTGGTGAAGAATGTTCGCGCCAATCCCTTAACAAATCGCGACTTTGAGAATGGCGTTTTCCTGCACCTGTTGCACGTCAAATGTGTGTGCTTCCCGTTCTCATTGGCTCTTACGATCGTAAACTTTGATTGGCCTTTTGCTGTATATGAAAAATACACGAAGTGCAGCATCGTGTTGAATGAGAAGTAATGGCAGTTACAAAGCGTACATCTATGCAAGTATTTGATGTCTTTCCTCCTCAGGGATACTGATGTATATATATGTAGAATGTAAAGTTGTCATTAGATTTGTTTGCTCTGAGGATTACCTTTTCCTCCAAAAGGCCCCTTTTCTCTTAGGTGGGGAAAAGGGTAACGAGTTTCGGTGTCTTGGAAATAAATGTTTATCCATTTTATCTTAAGAGGATAGGATTTTTCTGTGTGTTTGTTCTTTTCTGTTTTTAGAGAAGTGGTAATCGAATCATTACCCTTCCTAGCTAGAAGTTTTTGGCAGAATTGCAAACCCCAGATACTGTACAGATGGTACGTTTTTGACCAAGCGTGAGGTCAAGATGGTGCTATGTTGGCCGAACTCTTTTTGGCGTTTTTATGGACCACGACTTCGTCTCGGTCCACAAAACCCCCAAAAGCCATCTTGACCGAACAAACTTGGACAATAAAAGATTTGTTATGTAGCAAAAATATTTTGCTTTAATAAGAATCAAGAATGACTTGTTTCTTTCAAGAGCCGGGAAAGAAAGCCACTATGTTTGTAGCACAATAAACCCAAGAGGGGCGTTTGATTTTTGTTTTGTTTTGACTGTCTTTTACCGCATTTTGCGATTCCGTTGCCGACATTGTCCAAAGTTACGAAGGTTGTAAGTTCCCAGGAGCGGGAAGATGAGAAACCCTAGGAACGAGGTTGTAATCGATCTCGATCTCCGGCAAGAAGTCGAGGGCTTCCGTCAACGAAGGTTAAGCAAGGCGTCATTCTAGACGAAGCAGAATGCCCGAAACAACGGTTGAAGAGTCTTCGACTTCAACCACAACTGTCCCTTAAGAAAGTACTACTGTTCCTACCACGCGTATGACGCGATCAGTCACAAATTAAAGAAGCTTATTGCAGAGGAAAAGGAGGCCTTTCTAACACCAGAAGTCAACCCTAGTTCTACCAAAAGCAGTCATGGATATGAATTTTTTGGCCCAATTGGAGTGTTTTTCATGATGATCGGGCTGCCTGCGATGGTCATAGCGTCCTACTTGTTTTGTAACATAGATGGATGCTCTCTCCGTCGGCGCCCATCGATCCCACCACTTTGGAGGTTCACTGGAGGAATTTCGACATTGGTCATCAAATTGTCGGTGGATGGATCATTTCCCAGGCGATTATTTACATGTTGCCCGATGGAAAGGTAACTGACCTTTTCCTGTGACATTTCCATACATGTTACATGTACTTTTATTACGTCACTCGCAGCGCCCGTGGGTGTGGGCAAAATGAAGCAAATCCTGAATTTTTTTTCAGGCGATTATTTACATGTTACCCGTTGGAAAGGTAACTGTCTATTTCCTGTGACATTTCCATACATGTTACATGTACCGCTTTTATTACGTCACTTGCAGTGCCCGTGGGCGTGGGCAAAATGAAGCAAATCCTGGTTTTACTTGGTTACCCAAGCGGGCAAGATGAGCCCATCTTCTCCGCTCGGGATTGCCCGAATTGATATTAATAATATAATAATAATAATTAGTATATACTAAAACAGTGGATAGCGTTGAAGGCACACTCTGATTGACTAGTCAAACTCCGAATATCCTTTGCTATTTACCTCCAAGCAACTCGGGAAAAAATGGCGTCCCGGTTTGCATCCGTGACAAGCGAAGAAAAGACAGCGTGATGCTGTTAGTGAGTTTTCACAGGTGCTTACCAATACTTGGCTGTGTAGCCGCGCGATGCGGTTCCAGTCGAGGCCCACATATTGACCCTTGCTCACCATAGAGTCTCCAGTAGCTCAGTGGTTAGAGCATCCGACTAGATCTCGGAGGGTCGTGGGTTCAAGTCCCATCTGGGGCTCGGATTTTTTCTATTATCTTATCATATGACACTCAAATAAAGCTAAAATTCACAATGATTAAAAAAAAGAATAATTAGAACTAAAGCCAACCATATCCTATTATATGATACTTATGAACATGTCCACATGAGATCCAAGCAATATCAAAATTTGAGTCTACATGGTACCGTCCAGAATTTGATACTATTCTGTGTACATATTGGTATTAGTCATCGTAGTAGTCCAAGTTAAAATCCTTCCAAATATTTTTGCCAAAGTCCGAACAGTTCACGAGATACAGTGGTTCGAGTGAAATGACACAATTTTAAGTAAAATCATGGTAAATTCGTCCATGAAGTTTACAACTTGCTCAGAGACTATTGGATGCAGATAGAATTAAGAATCTTTGCCAATTTCAAATGAATAGTATACTTATTCCAGTCAACTAAATTTGAAGAGGATGCGATAACTATGCTCGAAAATATTGTTTCAAGAAAACCTTCAACTGAATCGAGATTTTTCATAATCGAATTTCCAGTGAAAATCGCATAAAATATCTCGGATGCGGCCATGTCTCTGCTCAAAATTACACCATTTCCATAAAGTTTATTTGTGTAGGAGTATACAGAGGTGACAAAATCTGTGTGAAGTTACGTACGTATAGCCATGCGAAACAGATATTTTGTATCGGTATTTCGCTCACGACAACGGGCGAATGACAAATGGGGACTATGGCCGTAATCTGTTGACATCTGGTTAAACATGCCACTGATTCTGGTGGACATTCTGGGCTCATATTATATTTGAATACAGAATTTTAGGTTCATAAAATGTACCTGATGAAATAAATCCAATTTAGAGTGCTAGTAAAAGTATACTTGCCAAGCCTGGTGTACGTGGGAAACTACCGGCTGGTGGCTGACCTTATACACTCAACCGTATGCAGGATTTTAGAATAATGGCTGCCGCTGCAAACTGCTCAGATATTCTTCAAGACTCACACTGACCATTTGTTTGGATGATCAGTTGTTTGAATAGATAAGATAAAATGTTTTACAAGGGGTCTTTACACATTGAAATCGATCTGTTAATAGTACCACGGAGCACCCAAGGTATTATTATCAGAGGGTTACCCCCTCCCCCTCAGTGTTTCTGAACCAGAAATGCTAATTTGATTTGATTATTTTGTTTGGGTTGGGGAATATTGTATCTATTTCTTTACATCTGGTTCATCCCAAACTCTTTCCAAAAGTCTAGAACAAAAACGCTATTTTCTGGTCCGCTACCCGTGCGCCTCTTCCTGATGTCACCTCCAATCCAGCCTTACCACACCGCAGGCTTTTTTAATGAAAATGGGGACCTCTGCACAAAAAGGCATATGAGTTGAAGGACCAGACTAAAGACACCCCCTTCCAGAAAACCCCGCATGCGAGAGTTCGCGATTCTGTAGCTTAAAGCGTGTTCACAGAGTTAGCTGATGTTCCACCCTCTCGCGGAGATTATGCCATCGAATCTCTCTTTCCAGTGGCTCTAGATCTAGATATTGGTCACCAACGTTGATGTCACTGGCTTACGGCAATTTTCCGGTTTTCTTTAAGGTTGCCAGTCTAGAAAGATAGCTGTGAGCCACTCCTCTTTTTCGAACAAGCGTTGGTTAGTACCCTTGCGACATTGTGTGCGTATTCGTCTTGAAGCATCAGGCGGGGTCAACTTGCGCTCAGTCTCTCCACCAACAAGAAAGAGCTCGAGAAGGAAGTTCTCCACCTGTTCTGTGAACCTGCTGCACTTCCTTGCCTTGAGGACTCAGCCACCAGGCATGGCACACTGTTGGAGCTGTTAGCGGTAGAAGTACGGGAGGTCTTATGGGTCTCTGGTATTTTTGCTTTCAAAAAGGAGCATTTCGCCGCCCACTGCCGTCTAATGTGATCATACTGTGTTTCCCGGTGAAGTTTGTACTGGTGCTTGCCGAAGTCGAGATGGCTAACAAGGTAGTCGTTAGAGCGGTAGACTTTAGAACACCCTTCCTCAGGACATGAAAACGAGGCGCTTGCAGTTTCTTCGTAGTTACGTTCCCCCACATTTCGCTAATGGTGGATTTCTCGACCGAGAAGTTGGCTTTTTCAACGCGCCATTTGCGGTGTCTGGTGCGCGAAAAGGCTTCAAAACCATTATACCTGTCACCTGCTGCGTTGACTCCACGGGAAGAGCCTTTTTCCGAGATCCCACTCCCACACGAAATGCGCACCACACCTTGATACTACCACACTCGTACTGGAAACTATTTAGCTTACTTATGCCCTCCCACTTTACTGGTGTAAACATTTTCTTTGCTTGGTGGAGCTCGCATACAGCAGCCCAGCAGTCTTTAACTCCCCCGTGCGAGTCAATAGCCTCCTTCAGCTGCGCCGCAGTAGTAACATCATGACCTGCAAATCGATATCCACGGGCATGAGTAAGTACACGTTTGAAGCTTAAGGTGCTGTGGCCTTAAGGGGAGGTCCGCGAAGAATGCTGGATCTTCGGACATTGGCTATATACTACGAGTTGCAATGTTGTACCTGTTGCCACTGTTGCTTTAATTTCGAGTTTTAGACTCTATTGCAGTGTTATTGACAATTGTAACCACGGACAGACGATATCGAGTTTGTTTCCGTGGCCCATCAATGTGGCGATCTTACCTTCGTTGATATATCTCTCAACGTGCGTCTTGGGTGTTGCAGTCTTTCGGTCGCGCACATCCTTGCCACTGTTTGCCTCACTGAAGCTGTAGTCCTTCAACACAAGCCCCTGACGTGCGATCGCAACGGCGGCGCTAGAAAGGAGAGCGGCATTATGGTAGAAGCCCGCGTTATCACTTCCCAGAAACAATTCCTTCACTTCAGGCTCCACGTTTTCTATCTCGGAAGCCACGCTCTCCAAAACCGAGACCACAGCAAACCAATCTTCATCACAGGTGTCAAAAATGTGGACCAGTGTACGCACTTAATATTATGAAAGTAAAGCACAATTTTTAGTTGTCTAAAACGACTGAAGGATTATCCAGCTGTTACGGTGACTCAGTTTTGAATCATTCCATTCAACGGTTTACGAGAAAATGGAACGCAAACTCATAGATTTGGAGCTGGAGCTCTTCTAGGGATCCGGACATGAGGGGTACTCAAAGGAATTCCAAACATGGGTTTCGGTTATCGAATTTTGGACCCAGCCACCCTACCCGAGGAACAAAAATCTGAAAAATGTGAAAAATTGTAGCCCCTGTTGGGGCCCCAAAGGCGCTACTTTGTACTTCCGGCGGATATCGTAAGCCAAGATCGACCAATAAGAATCGAGAAAGGTTTTGTCAACATTCTCAGGTAAACCCATTGAGTGTTAG